CCTGTGCTTTCAAAACTTTTGACGATTGGTCCTTATTGCTAACTCCGTTAAATATGTCCGTTAACTAAAGGCATTTTCGTCTTTTCACGATCACAGGGACCATTTATGAAGTTTTTCTCTTATTTAATATTATTATTATCATTATTATTATTATTATTATTTATTAAGGGTCTCTCTCTCTCTCCCTCTCTCCATGACCACCATCAACCTCCCAAGATCCACACAACCATCGCCACCTTCTACCATCATGAATCACCTTATTCCTCCATTCACCATCACCAAACACCGTTCCCATCTCCACAATCTCCATTCCAGCCACCGCTTCACCAAGACCCACCTTCACCATTTCACCACCATGACCACCAAAACCACCACCCATCACCACCCTTATTTCCTCAAAACTTCCAGCCACCTTACCCTACAGTCCTACTCCATAAACCCATAGCAATTGACCTTCAAACAAACCTTCACAGCTTTCTAATTCCAGTCTCCATTCACTTACCTTCATCAACTTCTTCTCTCCTCTTCATCCCCCTACACCACCCACACAAACATCACTACCCAACGTCACCTTCAATCACCAAAGACCTCCCATATTCCTCCATTATTATCATCCCTAATAGCTGCAAATGTAAAAAAATAAAAGATAAAAGAAGAGGCTAGTCTATTAAGAAAGGAGAAAAAGGAGAACTGTGGTCGAGATTAGAAGAAGGGAGAAGGAGGATGCGACGTTGGGTGACTGTGTTTGTCGATCAGATTCTATGAATCGAAGGGGGGGTCCGATTTCTAGTTTGATACACAATTTTAGTTCAAAAGTCTTTTATCAAAATAAAGATAATTGGTTAATCTATTGTATAAAATTGTATACCTGACGTTTACTGTGACCAACGGAGTCATTATCATTGGGAGATGTCGATTCTGTGGACCGTTTGTCGGAGGTGGTATTTTCCGGCGACCCTGTGTAAGTAGAGGTGAACGCTTTCCCACCGAATTCCCTCTCGCAAGTTTCAACTGTCATTTGTAGATCACTCTCCATTCTAGCAAAAGTCGCACTCCCACTTACACTATGGTCCTTGCAGCTGCTCCACTCATGCACCGACGCCGCACCACTGCGAGCCACCCTCTGGTCCATAAAACCCGACTGATCACCACTACACGAAGCCACCCGAGTGGAACCCGGAACCACAGAGCCATTAGCAGCTGACCGCAGCGTTTGCAGATGGGTGTTGGAGCTTGGCACCAACGCGTCCATGGCCATGGTTACTGACGCGCTGGCGGATCCGGTGGCAAGGTTCGAGGACTGGTTTTCTAGCCATGGAACCAGGTCGTCGGCGTAGAACTCCATTTGGGATTTGCCGTAGGGAAGGAAGGTGGCTTGGTTGACTATTTCCTCAAGAGAGGGAAACAAAGGAGGGGGAAGCAGGCGTCAAAGAGAGAGAGAGAGAGAGAGAGAGAGAGAGAGAGAGAGAGAGAGAGAGAGACCCCTTTGTAAATAAGAGAAAAACTTCATAAATGGTCCCTGTGATCGTGAAAAGACGAAAATGCCCTTTAGTTAACGGACAAATTTAACGGGTTTAGCAATAAGGACCAATCGTCAAAAGTTTTGAAAGCACAGGGACCATATATGACGTTTTTAAACCATATGGACTAAACTTCAGATTTTAGGAAACCACAGAAACCATTTATGATGTTTTTTCTTTTAATATTATAAAGGATACATTTAAATTTTAATAAGTGTTTTTTTAGTTTTGTGTTTGTTAACATCTTTTTTAAATAACGTTCCAGTTAATTCTTTTATTTTTATAATTAAATATTTTATTTTATTTTAATTTTTAATATTAACTTTTTGATTCATAATTAACAAATACATTATAAAATTTTATTGTTTTTTTCTTGCTACATAATCTTTTCTTTTTATTTTTTTGTAAGATACTAGTGAGTATATAATTATTGTTATATATTTAATTTATTTAATTTTATTGTTAGATATTATTTACTTTTAAAACATTATATATATATATATATATATATATATATATATATATATATATATATATATATATATATATCTATATATATATATATATATAAAGAGGTTATAAAAAATAGACAAAACTGCAAAATTAGTCTCTGTGGTATTTAAAAAACTTTGGATAGGATCCAAAAAGTTTCTAACTTTCATGGATGGTCCAAAAATCAAGAATTTCATGTGGTTTTGGTCCTGAAAAGGTTAAAATGACTATTTTGCCCTTATTATTTCCTTTTACATTTATTTTTTATTTTTTTAGTATTTAAAATAATTATTAAAAGATAGAAAATAACAAAAACCCCACCGCCCCACTCTATCGTACCCCCTTTCTCTCTTCATCTCTCTTTGACTCACTTTCTCCCTGTTTGACTCTCTCTCCCTCTCTAATTATCTTCTTCCTCACATTTTCAACTGCAAATAAGATAAAAAAAAACTCAGATTTAAGCAAAATAATAGTTTGACAAAATAGGCTCTTCATCAACGTGATTTGCGTTCAACAAATGACCCTTGCCACAACCGAGATCTCCAAGGTGATTTGTGTTCAACCCCAAGGCATCTGAGAATAATCGAAAAAGTATGTAAATGCATATCCTAAACACCTCTTTTCTTTCCTACCAGCACCACCATTGATTCCAAACTGAAATCACTGCTCATGGTTAATGATTTTGATATCATTGTAATCTTTCTTCCTCCAAAATTATTTTTTGATGATGATCGGTCATCATACACCACATTTTCGTGAAAAAACACAGGTATGACAGAAAAATGCTCGATAAATGAAAATCTAAATAAGATGAGGTCACCTTCTTGTTTTGAGATTCTGGATTTTCTGCCCATTGTTCGATTGTGTGAAAAATTAGAGGTATGACCGCAAAAATCCTAAGAATCCACAGTAATATGATGAAGAGGGTTTCTACCGGAAGGGTGAGGAGATGATTCAAAGTGCTGGAAATGAGTTCGTTGTTTTATGCGATCAACACCAAAATTACTAATCTTGGAGGCAAGCAATCCTTTCTTCATCTTCTGATATCCAACCATATAACCCACCACAAATTAGACAACGATTTCAGCATTGATGTTCATCATTGGGGAAGAGAACAGCATAGAGAAAGCTCAACGGTAGAACGACGCATATGAAACTCGATGGCGGATGAGAGGAAGATATTGGCACAGAGGGAAGGGAAGAGACGGAAACGACTACGCCACTTGTGTTGATGAAGGAAGAATGTTCTCTAGTAGCTGTTGATGGTTGTCTGATGAAGGAATAAGGCATCGAGAGTGAAGCATGGATCTGGGTTTCTTGAAGATGAATAAATACTTGGTTTAGGTTAGAAAGAGAGAAGGGAAGTGGACGATAGAGGTGGCCCATTTTTTTTATTTAACAAGTATTAAAATAAATATAAAATAATATAAAAAAAGTAATTAAAAGGGCAAAATCGTCATTTCAAGTCCATCATGGACCAAATTCACGGAAAATTCCTGATTTTGGGACCAAATTCACCAGAAACTTTTGATTTTGGACCTTCCATGAAAGTTGAAAAGTTTTTGGACCCCATCCAAAGGTTTTTGCAAACCACAAGGACCAAATTTGTAGTTTTGTCTAAAAAATATTTTACAAAAATAAAAATACATTTTTTAATTAAAAAGTAGCTTTTTGAATTGATTAATGATTAATTAATATTATGATATAAAGTTTTTGCAAAAAAAATTAGTAGAAAATTGATTTGCCAAATCACAAGGATATAAATGCGATGAATAATCAATCATTATAGATTTTTTTGAAAAATGAGACAAACGAATATGAAAAATAAAATTTCTATTAAAAGCAAGATAAATAGAAAAAAAATGATTTAAGAGGTTAATAAACTTTATATTTTATTCATTTTAGACATTCTTTTTATGCACGATTGATCATCAACTTTGTTCACTGTGTTTTCATATTACCATTGTTACCACCACTCATAATTGTATTATGTGAACACATTTATCAATTTTGATGGTTAATTGTATACATTTTTTTGTATAAATATGAACAAACTTAAAAGTAATTACCTAATAAGTTATTTTCCTTTTTTTTAATACCAACAAAAGAATAGCGTAAACTAAAAAAAAGAAGTTTTTTTTTTTTTGGCAAAAAGGCACATTCCAGGTGTCAAAATATATACATAACTAACCAGCTTATTTTCATATAAAAAAAAATATATGGTTCATGACAATTGTTATTGAAACCATTTTATTTACAGTTAATCGCATAAACATCGTATATATTGTGATGCAGTGTAAAGTTTAAGATAATTACTTTACAAAATAATATACATGAAATAATGTTACCTAATGACATTCTGAAATTGAATGTATATCTAACCAATTTGCAAAGGATGAACACTATTGCAACAATAGCCATTTTACATTGGACCTCTTATATTACAATCTCCATGGAATAGAAAAGCCATTGTTTTAAGGAGTACTTTTGCTATAAAATTTATAATAAATGAAAATTGAAAAATCCAAGTTTAGATCGATCTTATTGTATGATTACAGAATCTTTAATTGAGTGTTTAGAAAATAGAGATAATCAATGAAATCACTACTACCTACCAGCCACGCCTAATAACTTACTATTTTTAGTATAACAAAATCTAATTATTAAAATTCGAACCCTTTCTATATATATATATATATATATATATATATATATATATATATATATATATATATATATATATATATATATATATATATGCAAGATTTAATTCGAACACACACACACATATGAAGAGATTATGACTAAAGAGACAACTCAAACTTCTATTTACTTGATTATAATAGTGTTTTTGCCCCTTTTTGTTTTTTCATTATTCAATCATTTCTGTTACTAGAAAATGATTTATTAAAAAAATATAAACATCTCTAAATTGAATTTTCGAATTTAGAAAATGTATGAAAACACCTGGCGAGAGATATGTGACAGTCAACTGTTGACGCGGCGGCGGCTAATGAGCTTCTCCTCCTGGGTGAGAGCATGGCGGAAATGACAGCGGTGGCCATATGGGCAAGGATCTCCGGCGAGGACCATCCGGCAGACTTCTGTTTTGTAGCGTGGGTGGCGTAGAACTGGGCGGAGCTCTTCTATGCCATGGGCAAATTGACAGTGATCTCCATATGGGCATGCACCAGTTTGTTGCCATTTGTTGCAGAGTTCAGTCTTTGTCATTCCTTGGTTGTATACTTGAAGTTCCAGTGGTTCCTCCTGTTTCTTCCCTCGTACATACACTCTTTGCTGATTCATTTCAACATCGATCACAATTCACAAATATCAAGTAAATTTACAAAATCTTGCAAGAAATTATTGTTATAATGAGAAAAGATGTAGAGGCTTTTGAGAAATTATGATTCAAAGAAGGAGTTTATTTGTATTACCGTATCAGAAGTGGATTTTACCCGATCCTCAACCCGTGCCCGACTAGCAGTGCCATCACCAGTTTGAACTGTCTTCAAGTACCCATTGGATCGGACAGAAATACTCTTGGGCAATTTAACCCGCTCCACTTCCGTTTTCTTAACCGGATCCACGTTCTCCACTCCACGGGCTGACCGTTTGTCGGTTGCCGGAGGTCCCTTCTCTCCGATCCTGATCCGTCCAAAACAATCGGAAAGGGAATTCGCCGATGGAAATATAGTCGCATTAGCGTAGTTCTGTAGAGAAGAAGCTGAAGCTGCTTGTTGCTGCAAGTGAGACAGTTGTTTGTTTAGTTCAGAATTTGCCATTTGAAGGTTAACGTTCTCTTGGCGGAGCGCTTCGGCTTCTTTGGCGGTGAGACGGAGGTTAGAGAGGCACCAGTTACGCCGGTCGATCAGGTCTTGAAACGGTGCAAAATCCATTGAATGCCTGTGGCTGTAATCCATGACGATTGGTGGTAGTGACAGAGGTGTTGTGTTCGGAGTTCCGGGGAAGTGATGAGGCGGAGTACTGGTAGGGAAGATCGGAGAGTAAAGAGGTGCGTCGAAATCATCATATGCACTGCCGTCAGATTGTTCGATGAAGGAAGTCCAGAGTTTATTGTCGTCGTCGTCGCCACTGAACGGAAAACCGGTGTAGTTCTGCATTTTCTTAATAAATTGTTCTCTGTATAAACAAAATTAACCACAAGTAAATCGTTTAATCATATACTTCGAAATTTCTCCTTGCGTAAATCTACACCAACTGAAAAACACACACACTCACACATGTTATTGATGATTCGTCATTTCGGAAGTGAATTCAGAGCATGAATTACTAACGGAACAACAAATAAACTAGATCTTGATTTCTGTTAAATGATGTACTCTCAAATAATTACAGTTCCTAGCGAGAATTATCACAATCATGAGTCTAATCATATCAAATTCGTAATCAAAATTCAACAAATCAACGTAAAACACACAGAGAACAAACGAATACACATCAAATCACAGTTGAGATTCAAAACATGTAAGCTGATTACCTGAAACTTAGCGGTTCTACAATGAAATTGTTGCTTGATTCTTGTTTGATGAATAAAATCAGATGAATAAATTCTCGATTAATCTAGAGAGAGAGAAGGAGCCATTTGAGAGAGAAAAAGGGAGCGAGATGAACTACATGCTTCTTGCAAGGAGTAATAAGTATCTGAATTCGTTACCGTGTAACGGAATGTATCCAAGTGATCTTGCAATTTTCCATGCTTAACCTCGTATAATTTCTAAATCGTAGCAAACTGAAAGGGATATTTTAGTCAATTCATATAATAAAGTTGTTAGTCAGTTGGTTTTCTAAAGTATTAATTGAGTACCAGTTCTAGTTGCACCATGTGATTTTGGCGGGAAACATACCTCAAAATCATGTAAACTCTTTTATTTATTTATTTTTAATACTCAAAATGATGAAATTAAACATATAATAATAACTTTCTTCCCACAACTTCATGTTGACTCTTTGATTTTTATACTCAAATCACATAAAATGCCATTGATTTTCTTTTTGGTATATGTTGATTATTAAATGACATATTTAGCCTTGTCTAGACAAATCAATAAAAACATTGTGTTATAACGCTAAAATTTATTATAATAAATAAATATTTTTTTTTGCCACATGTTACATTCTCATTTATTTTGTCAAATGTCATTTTATGATTTTTATTTTACTTTATTAAATTTAACATAACATTTAATTATAATAATTCCAATAAATATAATAATAAATGGATATCAATTTCATTAATGAACTTATATACTAATTTTAAAATTCTTAAATTAAAACCTATTAGTTTTCTTTGTTTATTTATCAAAATTATTTGTTTAAATTTAAAAGGAAAAACAAAAAAAAATTCAATTTTAATAATTCATAATTTTTCTTATTTTCTTATAAAATCAAAGTTTTCAAATATTTAGACCTTCATATTTATTATTTTATTTATTATTTTTTAAATAAACTCATGTAATATATGAGTTTCACAACCACTATTAAACAAAAGATCTTATTTTTGTGTCGATTTTTTTATTTTCTTTTAACAATTCTTTAAAATAATCAATAATTCCGTAAATAAAATTTCATACAAAGCGTACAATATTTTTCTTGCTTTGAGAACATTATGATTTATGTATACCATGTGGGTTGTAGGTCAGACCGATTGCTAGAAACCTGATGAGTCTTTTTTACCTTTTACAGTTACTAAATTGTTAACCTTTTAATATATTTCTCGCGGAATAGCAATGATATCTACCAATATTCTCGATACTCATGGTTATTAGTTATTGAAACTATTATCCGAATAAATCAGTAAATCACCCAACATTGTGTATGCAAAATAATACTCCTTTGGATATAATTGAGATTCTACTTAGAAAAACATATTGTATGCACTAATTACCAACAACATTATTTATGTTAAAATATGAGTGCATGATTATATTTAATTGCTTAAATTGATAAAAACATGTAAGCCTTTATAATAAATGCTTGATTTAGAAGTTTAGTTGAATGATTTATTAGTTGGAGGTGTTGATTTCTCACTTTGAATCGAAAGGTTTGCTTCTTTAATACAACTCTTAACAAACTCTCATGTTTCCATTGAAATGTTGCCATCAATTCTAAAATCATCTGTTTGGTGTATATAATATATACCCCACACATGATTCCGATATATCTTAAAAGACTCCCTTACCCGTAGCATAATGAGTTATTCGTGAAAAAAGAAACTGTTCCACAACAAGTATATGTGTCTCAAAAAATGTTCTTATTATTTGTATGTATAAATAATAAGAATCACTATAGTTTTCACTTTTCATTGTAGGAAGGAATATATGGATAAATCATATCATCAACCTCACCTTTTTACCTCGTAGTAATAATATACTTTATCAATCACATCAATGTAACTTAGTTTTTCTATAAAAAATTAGAATATGTAACTTAAATCGGAAAAAGATAACATGGCATAGATTTTCTGTAATTTTTATCACTTCATCCGTTATGTAGATAGTTGTTCACATGCATATTCATTACAAGACAAGTTTTTCAGAATTTTGATCAATTTTTTTTTTTTAGATTTACAGCTATAATTGAGTCTTATTATTATCATTTTTTTATTTTTTTTAAACAAAACATGTATGGCAAACAATTTTACAAACTCTACTCATCAAAACCATGAGTGGTGCATTAATGGATTCCAATGGCACCACGAGGAACTTCTAGTGTCCTTATCTCCTCTGTAATATGGTCTACTAGAAGCGAATATTTAGACCGGTGGATCGGACCGGACCCTTGTTTTGGATCCTCAGGCCGGTTCTCGGTTCTAGGATTTGATCAAAACCAGTCCGGTTTTTTACCGGTTCGGTCCGGTCGGTTCCGGGTAAAAACCTGTTTTGGACCTGATTTAAAAAAAATCAAATCAATCATCTAATTATCTTTTTGTTTTAACGGTTTGACCAAGTCCCTTTCCCATAACCTGTACGTAGGTACGATGCAAAGAAAGAAGCTATACTACAGCCTGTGTCGATGTGACCCTTCCCCTTCTCACTCTCGCAAGTCTCACACAGTTCACGACACATAGAGAAAAAAAATACAGAGTCGATTGTTCTCTCAACCAAATCGATTTTCAATAACTCCTCACAAGTCTTGGCATTTAAGTTCATGTTCTGCTAATCTATTCTTCATCAGTGAAAATCGATTTTCACTCAACTCCTCACAAGTCTTACAAGTGGTTCAATCAAAAGTAATGGAATCAAAAAGTAAGAATGATAATCAGATTGGAGATGCTGATGATGAAACTCAAGTAAGTTTTGTTGGATTTTGCTCAAAATTTTTTGAATGTTATAAACTATGTTGTTATATTGTGAAAAAGTTTTTATTGTGATTATATATATAAACTATGGTTATGATTTTTGGTTGATTTTTGCTAATTTTTGTTGGATGTCATAAGTATCTTGTTATATTTAGTTGATTTATTATAAAAAAGTTCTTATTATGATTATATGTAAACTAGGGTTATGATTTTTGGTTGATTTTTGTTAATTTTTGTTGAATGTCATAAAGTATGTTGTTATATTTTGTTGATTTATCGTCACAAAATTTTTTATTGTGATTATATGTAAACTAGGGTTACGATGTTTGGTTGGTTTTTGTTAATTTTTGTTAATTTTTGTTGAATGTCATAAAGTATGTTGTTATATTTTGTTGATTTATTATCAAAAAGTTTCTATTGTGATTATATGTAAAGTAGGGTTACGATTTTTGGTTGATTATTGTTAATTTTTGTTGATTGTCATAAAGTATGTTGTTATATTTTGGGCGTGTTCGGCACGGAGCTTTTGGGAGCGTTTGAAAGCTTCTAGCGTTTGACAAAACGCTCCGTTTTGAACAGAAAGCTTTGTTTGACACTACAAGCTTCTAGCGTTTAGTTTAAACAAAACGCTTCAAATCCAAATGCTACTTCATGTAGCGTTTAACAAAATGCTACAAGCTACTAACTACCCGCGACCCGCAACAAGATACCCGCTACCAGCTAATTTTGCCGAACACGCTCTTTGTTGATTTATTGTCAAAAAGTTTTTATTTTGATTATGTGTAAACTAGGTTATGATTTTTGGTTGAATTTTGTTAATTTTTGTTGAATGTTATAAAGTATGTTGCTATATTTTGTTGATTAATTATGAAAATATTTTTGTTGTAATTATATGTGAACTAGGTTACGAATATTGATGAAGAGGAATTTGTTGAGAATACACCACAAACTAATTTAGTTGAAGATTCAGAAAAAGATGATCAACCAAATTTTAATAAATGAAAAAGAACTAGTGTCAAAGTAAAAACAAGTGGCAAAAAAATCCTCTTGTTGGGACACATTTGATAAAGTTATGATGGAAGAGGATGATGGTGTCAAAAGAAGACATGTGAAATGTCATTGGTGTGAAAGGCTACTAAAGGCCGATGTGGACAGAAACCAGACTTTTAGTTTACTCAAACATGCAGGTAGGTGTAAAAAAACCACGGATAAGCTACAAGATCAAACTCAAACCAAATTGAATCTAAAGAATGAGTCAAATAGGGAGACCGGTGTTAAAACATGAAAACACGACAACACTAGGATCAAAAAAGCATTACTTAACCTTTTTGTGGTAGACGAACTACCTTTCAAGTTCTTTTAAAAACGAGGCTCTTGTGGAATACACCAACACACTTAATGATAAGGCCGTGTTGCCATCTCGACATACGATATCCTAAATTTTTTCCAAGTTTTACATAAAAGAAAGAACCAATCCTTCATAATAATTAGGCTATGTCATAATAATTAGGTAAACTAGGGTTATGATTTTTGGTTTATTTTTGTTGAATGTCATAAAGTATGTTGTTATATTTTGTTGATTTATTGTAAAAAAAAATTATTTTGATTATATGTAAACTAGGTTACGATTTTTGGTTGAATTTTGTTAATTTTTGTTGAATGTTATAAAGTATGTTGCTATATTTTGTTGATTAATTGTGAAAATATTTTTTTTGTGATTATCTGTAAACTAGGTTACGAATATTGATGAAGATGGATTTGTTGAGAATACACCACAAATTAATTTAGTTGACGATTCGGATAAAGATGATCAACCAACTCTTAAAAAACGAAAAAGAACAAGTGTCAAAGAAAAAACAAGTGGCAAAGAAACATCCTCTTGTTGGGACATATTTGATAAAGTTATAATAGAATAGGATGATGGTGTCAAAAGAAGACATGCAAAATATCATTGGTATGAAAGGATACTAAAGTCCGATGTAGAAAGAAATGGAACTTCTAGTTTACTCAAACAGGTAGGTAGGTGTAAAAAAACCAAGATAAGCTACAAGATCAAACGCAAACCAAATTGAATCTAAAGAAGGAGTCAAATGGGGAGACTAGTGTTAAAACAGGGAAACATGATGACACTAGGATCAAAAAAGCATTACTTAACCTTTTTGTGGTAGACGAACTACCTTTCAAGTTCGTTGAAAGGTAGTTCTCGGAATGTTATAAAACATATGTAACTTAATGTTATAAAAAGTAGTTCCATGTATGGCATGATGAGTAAATTTTGTAATTATGTAGTCAAAATTTATTCTTTTCTTTTGCCTATTAAAGGAAAAGTGATATATTTGGGCCCCTCAGTGATTTGATGTTGACATTATAGTGTTGGGCCCAGTCTGGACTAAATTGATGTGTTTAATTTGTAGTTTAATAAGGTCATCATAAATCAAAAGTAGAGAAATAGAATCTTACGATATGAGATTGATTATATCCATATCTCGTATCCATATGATATCTTGTAGAATGAAGGAATAGGTGATCACTTATCTTAGGACCAACATTTGATTGAGTCAAAGTTCGGCAGTGGCTTTGGAAAGCACACTTTGTTGGTTATCCGGTGACTATATTTGCAATTCTAGTTGATGACTTATCCAAGTGGGAGACTGTTGGATTAAGTTGTCTAATGTCATAACTAAATTGGTATATTCTTATGAATAAAAGCAAAGTCCTTTTTGGGTTGCCCTCATAACCAAACATAGTTAGGAATAATATTAGAAGAGAGACTAAATGATTTATTAATTTATTATATGATTAATTAATTAATTAGAATTAATTGGAAATTAAATTTGGATTAATTAAAAACTAATTTTGGATTAATTGGAATTAATTAGAGGTACACGAGTTGGATTTAAATTGCTCAATAGTTGAACACAAGGGAGATTCTACAAACCCTCCTCATATGGACAATTTTGAGGCTCCTCTAGAAGGCTTCTGGAAGCCTCCTTAGATAATAGGGATATCTAATTAAATCTAAATATTTTAATATTCAAATTGGGTTTTATCCTAGATATCTAGCAACTATAAATAAACCCCATATGATATGATTTCCGGCTATCTATTCCTTGAGAAAGCCATAGCCGAAATTATATTCCCTATCCTTTCTCTTAATTGTTCCTTAGTTTCTAGGGTTTAGGTGTGAGCCACTAGAGGCATCCATAATTTTGGTGCTAGCTTTCTGAAGCAGATATGTGGAGTCAAGAGTGCTATATACAATCATAACACCAAAGGTATGTGACACTATCTATGAATTTTGATTATACCTAGGGTTTATGATTATTTCAATAGTATGTTGCTATAGTGAGAAAAGACATAGATATCTAGGTTGCATGTGTCCATAATTAGATTTTATGATGTTTCTGCTATGCAATAATATTCAATGTAACCTAGAAAAACCGTTACACCAACACAAAAAAAATACCTACATGGAAAAACCTAAAGGGTTTTTTATTCATGGGAAAGATAATCATTTTTGTACATTGAAGGAATCACTTTATGGATTAAAGCACCCATCCCAAAAACGATACAAGGAATTCAATAATTTCATGATCTATTAAGGCTTGAGAAAGTAAATTTTGATAGTTGTGTATAGATAAAAGTCAACCATGGTTCTCATATTTGTTTGCTTCACTATGATAATCACATGATAATAGTTGCTAAAGTTAAGTCTACTGCTAAGTAAGCTAAAAAGTCATTAGAATAATGAATTTGAAATGAAAGAATGAGAAGAAGACAAGAAGATTCTTGGCATACAGATTTCAATAAATTGATCATTTGACAAGTTATTTATAATTCAAAGTAGCTACATCAACAAAATCTTACACATGTTCAATATGAAAAATACCAAGCTAGTAAGTACACAATTAGCTTGGAATTTTCAATTATCATCCGAGCTTTCTACATAATCCATGATGAAATAAATTATATGTACAAGGTTCCCTATTCTAATCCTACTGGATCGCCATTATATGTTGTGGTTTTTGATCTATTGATCTGACTTATCTCATGTTTTGAGTGGTATAAGTCGGTTTATGTCAAACCTGAGAAAGGAACACTAGAAAATAGTTCAATATATCATAGATTTCTTAAATGTATTTCTAATGTCCGGTTGGAGTTTGGAAAATCAAAATCAAGTTTATATGGATATGTTAATTCTAATCCTGCATATGACATTGACAAAAGAAGATTCATCACAAGTTATGTCTTTACTGGTAGTGACTGTGTTATGAGTTGAAATAGTACTTTACAATATGACGTTGCTTTGAATACGACATAAGCCGAGTACATGGTCATTTCATAAGCATGTAAAGAACCAACTTCGATTATTGGGTTGTAAAGTGATTTAGTGATAATTCATTTAACATGCAATTTTATATGACAATCAAAGTTATATATGCGTTACAAAGGATTTCATATTCCATAAGAGATTGAAGAACACTTAAATTAGACACCATTACATAAATATCTTAAATATATTTCTAATGTCTGGTTGGAGTTTGGAAAATCAAAATCAAGTTTATATGGATATGTAAATTCTAATCCTGAATGTGACATTGACAAAAGAAGATTCATCACAAGTTATGTCTTTACATTAGTGACTGTGTTATGAGTTGAAATAGTACTTTACAATATGACGTTGCTTTGAATACAACATAAGACGAGTACATGGTCATTTCAAAAGCATGTAAAGAACCAACTTCGATTATTGGGTTGTAAAGTGATTTAGTGATGATTCATTTAACATTCAATTTTATATGACAATCAAAGTTATATATGCCTTACAAAGGATTTCATGCTCCATAAGAGACTGAAGAACACTAAAAATAGACACCATTACATCATATATTTGCCCAAGGAAATATCAATGTAAGTAAGATCAACACAAGTCACAACATTTACAAGATGATGAAAAGCCTATACTAACCTCTAAATTTGAACTTTGTTCAAGTTGTGTTGGTATTCAATTTTAGTTTTTAGGGGCTTTTGGCCCTACTAGTATCTACCGATTTCTTATGAAGGTTGTATTTTTTTTGTTTTTTTGTTAAGATTGGGTTCGGGCGTGTTCGACACGTAGTGTTTGGGAGCTTCTGACTTCTGACTTTTAAGAAAACGCTGGTAAAAAAAGTTTTGTTCGGCGACAGGAGCATTTAGCTTTTAGCCTTAACAAAACGCTCCAAAATAAAAAGCTACATGGAGAATCTTTCAACAAAACACTCCAAAATCAAACGCTACCCGCTAGTTTTGTCGAACACGATCTTCGTCTGAAGGTAAAGTTTGTTAAGGGCGTTCCGAAATAGAAGATTGCATGGCAAGCAATTCTGCGTAAGGTGTCTTTTCTTAAAATGTTGTTGTATGGGAGGTTTGTTATGTTTTATGTTGAATGGACAGTTTTTGAGTTTTTATTACTATCTCGTAAGGCTATAAATAATCCATTAGGGGTCTTTTTTTGAACGGCATGGCTAGTATATGTCTCGGATTGAACCCATAATCTCCTAGTTAAAACCTCCTAGTTAGACACTTTGTTAACTAAGTTGACTAACCCCAACTTGTTAGGGGTCTAGTTTATTATTCATTCCTTCTTATCCCTTCTCCACCTATCTATCAAGAAGATCAAGCATTAAACCATGTAACCTTCCTTCATCATCGTTTTTTACATTAATGCATGTAGTGTTTGTATGGTTTTTCTACAAGGATTTCCACCTATATTATGTTGTTTGTGAGTTATGTTATTACTCCTATTTGTTCATCATATCATAACTCTAAGGTGCTGTTTGTTTTTTTTTTTCTAAAAAATCACTTCTGACCACTTATTGCTGTGTCGCGCAGCACACACGCAACACTTGACCCTTCGCAGCTGTTTGTTTTTCAGAACACTTCTGACTTAAAAACTGTTGCGCGTATGCTGCGTGGCACAACACTTGACCCTCTGCTTTAAACCTCTTCACACCTTACTTTAACTTATTGTAACAACCTGCAGAGGTTGGAAAACAAACAAAATTTTATTACATGCTACAACCGTTTGGTCCACTCTTCTGCTACAGAGGGTTGTAGAAGTGGTTCGTAGACTTCAGACATTTTCGTTTTGAAAAAACAAACGGCACCTAACTAATCACATCACTGTTCAAGTGTTACTGATGCTAATTAATTACATCATTGGATCAAGTTTTACCAATTCCGTCGTTGGTTTGAGTTTACTCTACTTGATTGTTTTCTTCGTATTTACATACCCAACGGTTCTAAACTTAGAATATATGCTATCAATGGTAGGGCTAGGATTAGTGTTGTCGTTTATGGGAGTGGGACATATGTTCAACTAAATGATAAGCTTTATACATTTCATGGACCAAAATAAAAAGGAATCATCTTTAACAAAAGAACTTGTTGCCATCCTTGGAGTATCAGTTGACTATAATCTACAACAAACATTGGATTAAACGAAAAAATATATATAATTTCAATAACTTCTTGTTGTAGATTCATGGCTTTCTAACGTCCAACTTTGGGATTTTGAACGTTTTCGTGTGTCTGATCGAGCCTTTCTGTAGCCACATTTGTCTTGTTCCGAATCCTTCCTGAAAATGAGCTCCAAACCCAACAAAAATTTAGCACAATTCATATCAAAATCTAAGTCTATAAAAACGTTGATATGGTTGCATACAGCTGTCCGATCTTCTTTCCTTTTGATTTATCATGCACATGGTGCTCGGTTGATCCACATGGCGAAATACTACTGTCTATGCATGTTGTATCGCTGCTTTCAGCACTGCGTCTCGAAAACGAGAATGACATAATTTGAGAAGTGTAACGTGCTTTCTTTGGAGATGACTCGGTGAGATTCAAGTGGGCCATTGATTTGTTCTATAACAACAAATGCTAAAATATCAATAAGCAATGCAAAATTGAAAGAGTTTGGAGCAACCAACTTGTTTTAGCGGTTAATTTGGACTTTTGAAAGATAATATAAATAGAGAAAAGTGATTACCTGATCAACGCTTGTGGGCTCTTTCTCACTTCCGAAAAGTTCTTCGAAATTTCTGAATGAGAGATCGATATCAGGTATGTTCAAGTCATCTAAGCAAGATGGTTCTTCACATACACCAAGATCTTGCATATTTTGAGACCAAAGTTGGCTGCTTGAAACTGAACTTTTGCATTGCCAAATTGAGTCTCCTTGGAGGGTAGTTTCGTTGGTTTCAGAAGATTCTAAACTGTCCAATTGTGTGAATGGCGATGAACATGGATCAAGACTTATATTATGATCATTGGAATGCCCCCCTTCAACCAAGAATGGTTGCGAAAACTGATCAACATCCATCTCATGTTCTTGGCAATGCATAATGGATGAAATATGATCGATGTTGGATGTTTGAACCTTTAGCAAATCAACAAGTTGTTCAAGAACGGAGAACCCTTGTATACCACCATCAATTGCCTATAGACAAAAAAACCAATTCAAACCATGGGCGACATGTGTGAAATTAGGAAAATAACCTTCAATGAGCATAATGTTTATGTATCTACAAAAAGGTTATTTTTCCAACAATCCTTGTAAGAGTACACTCTTAACAAGAAGACCAATCCACATTTGAATTAGAATTTTTACTCTCAACTAGCATTTGTTGAAACTTGAACCTTTGACCTTTCGTGAAGTATACAACCCTATACTATCATTAACATCCTAATTAGAAAAGTAAAGAAAGTTTCATGGGACACACCTTGGTGTATTCATTACTCTCTAAACCAAATTTTTGGTCAAGAATGCGACTACTACAATCAACAAACGGATTCAAGTCGAAATCCCACAATACCCCTAAATCTCTGGCAGATGGGCAGCCAACGTAACTTTTCACAACTCTTTTTCGATGCTTAGAAGAAGCATTGTGTTGGCTAAGATCACAACCACGACACATGAACTTCTGATGATCATAACAACGGACATAGCTTGGGCGACGTCTGCAAGACTCACAAATGAGGTTCCGATAATGGCGGTTTGAGAGTGGATTGGCTGAGTGAACTTTAGTATCACACGAAAGACAAAGATAGGCTGCATCCGCCTTACAGTAAACAACGGATCTTAAGTTCACACAGAATTCACAATATCTATCCATGAAAAGTCCCTGAAACAAATATACACTTTTTTTTTTTTTTTTGGGTCAAATATGTTTCACTGCCAAAACTGAAAACTCAAATAAATTATGTATAGGACTTCAAATAACAACTATTCGAGCACTCCAGTCTACAAAGATGAACCAAAATAAAGATACCCGAATGAAAAGATTTCAACTTTTGTAATTGAACTCCAATGAAGTTAAACCTGCTGTAGAGTGTTAAATTAATTCACAAGATAACAACCTTTATGCAATATCTTGAATAGAAACAAGGTTTTGTAGGTGTTTTTAAAACTACATCTTCGAATAAGAAGACTCCAAGATCCAAATATATATGAATAAAAACATTAAAAAATTACTTTTTTTAACTTGTTTGAATTAAGTTAAAGAAATCAAACCTGTAATTAGTCTTGAAGAAAAAGAATGGAGGAAGATAGAAAACTTGAAGTCCATATCATTTCATCATGCACCGTTGGCTTTGAGCTTCTTTCACATGCCCATAGAGATGGAAAGATTGTGATCTATCCATCTATCCAAGGTTTGTCCATTTTTCAGGGTTGAAAGTTTCAAATCCAGAGTAGTATAGAAGCTCCATTTGTGATGTACAACTAACGAACTACGAATATTCTGGATTTAGTAATTTACGCTCTGGGAGAAAGGAATTACCCTATCTTTGCCGGGGCTTTATGGTATTACGTGTCTGACCTTTTATGACGTGGTCCTGTACACCTAAGATTAGTTGTGGGACCGTATGCTTATCTGTGCACGTGTATGGTTTAACTTGGAGGCGAATAAGAATTTGCCACGTGAAATGGGAATAGTGGTGAAAGCCACTAAGCTGCTTTTTCTTTAGAAAAATGATTTAGGAGAAGTATACGAATTTTTGAGTATGGTCGGTAATTTTTATTTACACGGTATATCATCTTAAAATTATTGATGCAGCTTGCAAAATGAACAAAGATAAATAAGAATGAATTTGTTGATTCCAACAAAATACTCATGACAATTTCTTTAAAACCACGTTATTATACGAATACCATGAAATTTGCTTCAACATTTGGTTTAACACACGAAATTTTAGAAGAAAATAAAAGTTCATAAAATTGATCATCCACGATGCAAATCATACCAACAATAGTTAGATAAGAAACAAAAATTAAAACAGAACCCTAAAAGGTCTGTGGGCCAAATACAAACCAAAAAATTATGGAAAAAAGTAACAAAAATGTTCATAACTTCATTCAAAAAGTGATTTATGGACTAAAAATGGGTAAGTCCCCTTCGGGAATTTATCATGACGTGCTCCTTATTTCAAGCTTCGATTTGACTGACCGTAGGCCCAAAACGGATCCCTGTAGCCAAAGTTATGACCATTTTCGTGAAGCCCCTTTAGTCATACGATCATGGGCCTCTAGGAACGCAAGCGCCCGATCCTCTACACTAGGGCCCACATCATTCCCTCCTGGGTAGACAAAATCCAACCTCGAATGTGCATCATGTTCATCATCTAAAGAATCCCCATAATAAGAAAGCAAATGTTTTACATTAAAAACATCAAAATAACGAATATGACTTAGCAACTGCAGACGGTAAGCATTGAAATTGATCTTCTCCACAATCTCCATGGGTCCAATCGTCCTTCCTGACAACTTGTTGTACTCACCAACCGAAAAATAATCTTTATTTAAAACAGCCCAAACAAATCTACCTACTTCAAAATCAACTTGTCGGCATTTTTTTATCTGCATCTTGTTTGTACTTGAAGTTGGCTTGAACCAAGTTGTCAAGAACAGCCTTATGACCGTCATTCAACAAAATCATGCAATTTTGTTGGAACAACACCAGAAATAGAAAGCGACATCAAATCAAATGGTCCCCATGGCTGAACAGAACATATCACCTCGAATGGACTAAATCCAATACTTCATTTAACAACATGATTATGAGCAAACTCAGCTTGACAAAGCTTCTGATCCCGGGCCTTCACATGATCACCCACTAAACACCGCAAAAGATTACGGAGGGATCGATTGACAACTTCTGTTTGGCCTTTCGTTTCAGGATGATATGAACTACTAAAATTGAGGTGAGTGTTCTCCATCTTCCACAAGCCACACCAAAAATGACTCAAAAACCTAGTGTCTCGATCTGAAACAACAGAAGACAACAATCCATGCAAACGGCAGACGTCTCGAAAAAAATAACTGAGCCACATTAAGTGCATCCGTCGTCTTTTTGTAAGGAATAAAGTGCACCATCTTTGTAACATCCCGTTTATTAATAAACAAATAGATAAAGATTAATTAATGAATAGTGGTCCTAAAGTCCATAATATATGGCGGGGTGTTGGTTTTGGGGAGCCAAATAATATAATTTGGATTTTCGGGGGTAAGAAGTGTAAGTTACATGATTTATTTTGTACAGATTTTCAGAAGTCAGGGAGTGTTTGGTAATATATGGACTTAATTTGAAGAAATTTTGGAGGCTAAGGGGGTTGAGTGGTAATTATTGGGACTTACGTTGAAAAGAATGAGAGGAGGAGGGACTAAAAATGTTAGCATGGCTGAAGTTGGATCTTTGGACCTAAATTGAAATGAATTTAGAATGTTGAGGGCTAAAAGGGTAAATTATGGATTCATTTTGAAGGAAAAGGGGGAAGGAGGGACCATTTTTGTTAATATGGGATAAAGTTTTATGGGGCTCGGGGTATATAACCCGTCACCCCGGTGAACCCTAACCCTAATGAACTATCTCCAGCCGCCACCCTCCTTATACCTCCCACTCCCTCCGGCCGCCGCCACCATTCACCTCATTCGTTCTCCGACCACCTAGCACCATCGAGCAGCCCTTGTCACCGGCAACATCGAAGACCGACAAGAAATGGGACTGAAGCTGCACCGGTTAGAGAATCGGAGGAGCAATGGCGTCGTTAGGAGCTGCCATCCGGCACCGTCGCTACTCCCTTTGCCGCCGACGACAAGGACGGCCGACGGACATCCCTCCCTCCGTTGCTGCTGCTATAGCTCGCGTCGTCACCCCTTTCTCCGTCCTTTGCTTACAGCGCCTCAGCTACGACCATCAGCGCCATTGGTTGAAGATGCACCACCGTTCCACTGTTGGATCCACTGCCACCAGTTGTCGCCGCTTCTGTTGTGGTTGAGGAAGAAGATCGACGGTGGGTCGTCGGGAGTGAAGAGGGCAAGCCACTGTCGCCGTTAGTCGTTGTTGTGACCGTCTTCCAACTCCATCCGCTGCTGATAACGTCGAATGTAGGCGCTGTTGTTGCTGCCGGTCCGCCATACGCCACTAGGTGGGTGGCTGGGTCCATTTTGCAATCAGAAAGCATGTGTGTGTGGTCGTTTGTTGGCCGGATTTCACGAGAAAAGCCACCACCAACCACCGTGAGGTAGTGGCTGCCACCTCCAACCACCGCCTGCCGCCACAAGGGTGGCTGGGTGTGTGTGTACGTGTTATTTGTGTGTGCGTTCATTTGAATATTTCGTTGTAATATTTTATCTTGATCGGAATAATTAAGGAATCCGTCACCACCACCGTGAGGTGGTGGCCATCGCCGTGAGCCGCCATTGACCACCACTACCCGAGGTGGTAGTGGGTGGTGCCTAGGGGTGTTCGTTTGGATGGACCGGTTTAATCCATCCGATCAAGTGAATCCTAAATAATTTCGGTTTTTAAAACGTAGATCCAAATAGTCCAAATTAAATTCAAATCCAATCTGATCCAACCAAATTATAATTCGGTTGGATCGGTTTTTACAATTCAGTTTTCAAGAATCAAGACATTTCAACAAATATATAACTTTAGTATTAACTTACTCTATAATACAAACTAAAAAATATTGTTTAATTAGTTGTGATAGATGAGAACTTTTAATATACTAAACGAATAATTTTAGTAAATTTATAAATTATTAAAGATATATATTAAAAAAAACAAAATAATAAATTGCAATTCGGTTTTTTTGGACTATTCGGTTTTTATTTTATAAAGCAAAACCAATCCAAAATACAAACCAATCCAAAAATCCGAATATCCGAACCAAATAGTCCGATCGAAATTGTCCAATTGGACAATTCGGTTTTATCCAAATAGTGAACAGTCCTAGTGGTGCCCAACTTAATTAACAAGTAATTAACCTAAAAGCTTAACAAATGGACTAATTGGGTTGTGATTGGATTAGAAACCCTAATTAGGGGGGTTTAGAAAACCCTAATTTTGTATATGTTAATTTGGAATTGTCGGTACCGGCAAGTTTGGACCATTGGATTGGAATCATGTATTAATCCCGACCACGTTGTATGTTTGACCTAGTAGAGTGATTGATTTAATGGATTAAGTCCTTAATGGGTTAAGTAAGAACACTTAACCCTAATCATCATTTCATGTGAGAAACCCTAATTTTGCTTGGGCCTTGAGTTGGGCCTTTTATTGGGCTTTAGTTATTGGGATATTGATGGGCCATCCAAGAACAAACATATGGATTAGAATATTAGGATGGGCTTTAGGATAAGGCCCATGTGAGTGGTTAGGGCCCAATTTGGAAAATTGGGCCATAGATGGGTCATAACTGGGCCTTGATGATTATGAGATATTGGACCATCGAAATGCCAAGTGTTTGGACTAGAATAAATGGTTGGGCCTTAAGCTAAGACCATGCAAAGGTTTGGGCCCAATTTGGAAAATCGAGCCATATGTTGGGCTTTGGTCCATTGGGTGACTTTTGGGCCTTTGGACTGTGAGTTTGGGCCTTGGGCTTGAATCAAGCTATGTTGGGGGTAAAAGTAGTCTTTTACCCCAAGAATGGACTTATGGTTTTGCATTGGAACCCAATTATTAATTGGGTGTTGTTTTGATGTTGACAGTTCGGGAATCTGTCATCCAGCAGCTAGGGTTTTGTCCGTGGGACTTCAGCAGTGTGAGGTGACTTCTCCTCACTATTTCAATAGGGTCTAAGGCACCAAGGCCGGACCTTTTCGGATTTGTATCCGGGTTTATTGCATGATATGCTTATTGACCTGTTAGATCTGCATCATGGTAGTTAGGATGGTATTATTCTTATTGATCTGTTAGATCTGCATCCTGGTAGTTAGGATGGTACCATGCTTATTGATCTGCTAGATCTGCATCCTGGTAGTTAGGATGGTATTATGCTTATTGATATGTTAGATCTGTTTGACTGTTTGCGCATGCTAGCTAGCTTTTGATATCTATGTGATTGGTTGTGTGATTGTGGTTGGGTTGAGGCGGTCATGCTGTGTGCTGAAGCTAACATACCCAGGGCGGCCCGGATAGGCTGTAGGCCCGGTGCGGGTGGTCCAGTCAGGCCGAAGGCCGAGAGAATGGTCCAGACAGGCTGTAGGCCCGGTAAGGGAGGACCAGACATGTTGAAGGTTCTGAGAACGGGCTAGATAGGCTCAAGGCCCGGTAAGGGAGGACCAGACATGCTGAAGGTTCGGAGAACGGTCCAGACAGGCTGTAGGCCCGAGAAGGGCGGACCAGACATAGTGAAGGCTCTAAGAG